TGTAAAAAATGAGTCGGGTAAAAAGAAATACAAAAACAATTCCGATACCGGGAGTCGAACCCGGGTTTGCTCGGTGAAAGCGAACCGTGCTAGCCGTTACACTATATCGGAATTTATGTTGAGTGTTACACTCTGCTTCTTGTCGATGATTGTTCTCGACCAAGAAGATTTTCAAACTACATTAAGTAGTTTATGAGATATATAGTTATATAATTAATTAATATATTGAATTTTGTCTTTAAAAAAAAAAAGATTCCTAACGAGGAGCTTAAAAATCGTTACATTTATGGTTACTTGGAAATGGAACCAGGAAAACAAATCCCGGTTATTCACCAAGACAACATTGTTTCTAAAGTCATTACTAAATGCTTACACTGTATCAATTGTGGTTCAAGAGAACACACCAGATACAATTGCAAGCAAGCATTACATTCACTAATAAAGCATCAGAATTAGGGAAAAGCCGGAGATTGGATAGGTTCTATATCACTGGGAGCTTCTTAAAAAACAAAGAAAACAAATGGAATATGACACAAACAAATCATTTTGGGAAAAGATCCACACATGATTCAGTTACAGTGGAGTTGACTTTAACTTCATCCAAGGCTTACTATAATATGAAGAGATATAGATTGACCGACAGAATCATTAATGTTCTCAGGCACCAATCTATAAATGAAGATATCCAAGGAACCGATGAATTAATAATTGATATTAAATGCAAAGCAGAAAAACTCAAACACATGTTGAAAAAAGTGAAAGTGCCTGAACTTGATAAAGTGACGGAATATTATCAACATATTAACCAAGTTTTCCACCAATATCAAGAACAACGCCCAATAAAACAGCTAAAAGATGTAGAAGGGTCACTAGTTCAATCTCATGAAGAGATAATGAAAATAGCAACTGAATATTATATGGACTTGTTTGATGGAACCAGAGGAACAAAGGACACAAAAAAAATACATAAATATCTTCAGGACGTGATTCCAACCCAAGGAATATCTCCTGAAGAGAAGAGAAAAATGGATTCCTCCATAACAATGGAAGAACTCAAACTGGCAATTGATTCGGCAAATTTGAAGTCCACACCGGGCATAGATGGAATCCCATACAAATTTTATAAGGAATTATTTCCCCAAATCAAACACATCCTTCTTCAAGAATTTAACCACATTCTAACTGAAGGAAATTTACCATTCCACTACCGAACTATACTCTTTAACATCATACCAAAGCCTGGAAAGTCAAAAGAAAACATTGGAAACTATAGGCCGATAGCCCTTATCAACACTAATCTTCGATTATTATCCACAATAATTAATAATAGGTTGTTGAAGCACTTGCGCGATATCATAGGGGAAGATCAAGCTGGTTTTATTCCAGGCCGGTCATCGTTCTCCAACATCACCATTTTCAGAGAAATGTTAGATAGTCTAATTCATCCAAAAGATAAAACGCATATAATACCAAATCCACAAAAGCTGATACTAATTGTGGATTTGGAGAAAGCGTTCGATAGGATATCTCACGAATATATGGAACAACTATTGTCCCATTTAAATTTTGGAAAAAAATTAGCCAAGTTAATCATCAACATCCTCAAGCAGACAACGGGATCCTTATACATCAACAACATGACCGGCCCATTATTCAATTTAAAAAATGGTACCCTCCAAGGTAATCCGTTTTCCCCTTCATTATTTGCATTAGCAGTAGAACCTTTACTACGATCTATCAAACAGAATACCAGAGGCCATAGTTACCAAGGAGATTTGATACCTGAAGCATATAGCAGTCAACATTATCTTGCTTTTGCTGATGATTGTTGTAGTTTTGTAACTCTAGTTACAAAAGACATTGATAACAATAATATTCAATAATATTTATTCCCTTGTTATACTTGTTTTACTTGTTAACTATCTAAATTATATAAAGGACAAACTCAGACTATGGGGGCATGGCCCATATTTATATTAATCTCAATGGGTTCTAGAAGGTTCCATAAGCTCTAGAATGTTCCATGGAATTCTAGAAGGTTCCATAAGTTCTAGAAGGTTCCATGAGCTCTAGAAGGTTCCATAAGTTCTAGAAGGTTCCATGAGCTCTAGAAGGTTCCATGAACAATGACTAACCACATAACTTTGGATTGCCAACTCAACAAATACAACCTTTGACAGAAATTGCCCCAATGAACGAAATATTAAGCCCTCTGGTTACGGGAACAGTAAGAACTGCTTTTTCACCCACAGCAGACCATCCATACTCACGCCGCATACTGATATTGAAACCTGCTTCGTCGATGAAAATACAGTTTTGACTAAAGTCGAGCTTGTCTTTATACTTCTCTGCCCACTCGAGTCTCTGTTTCTTCAATTCCTCCAGACTTCTTCTCAAAGCCCATTTAGAAATACGTTTGAGACTTAGCTTACAGACCTTGGTTACAAAGTTATAGATTGTTGTAGCCTTGGCTCTTACATTGGTGAAGGCTTTCTTGAGTCTCTCCAACATAAAATCGAGAGTCACTGTAGCATCTTCCTTTATCAATTTTTGAAGGAATTCCTTATGTTCATCAGTGAGAAGGGGTTTACGACCTCTTTTCTTTATTGGCTTCGAGATACCATTTAATTCATTCACAAGTATTTTGTTCCACTTTCTTTTCCATGTGTAAGCAGTTTGCAAAGGTATATCTTCTAATTTTGCAGCCTTGTAAGCTGATACACCTTCTTCCATGACCAAGTGCCAAAATCTTTGTTTGACAGCTTGATTATAATACCGGTACGAACCTCTATATCTTCGTTCTTTCATTTCTGTTTCCATCTTAGCATCTTCTTCTTCTTCGAAAATAGGATCAATTTCCATAATACCAGGTTTTTCAAAATGCTTATAGTCACTGTAACTAAAGCAAGCTTCAACTGGTGCTATTTCAGACTCTAAAGTCATTTCACTGGGTTCAGCATAGAATCTATTACCTAGGCCATCAACATACCCATCAGTTAGTAGCTTGGCTTTCAAGTCCATACTTAGTTTTGATGGTAAAATCTTATGCTTTTTTTTGTAAGTAATCTGGTGATCACATAAAGACCGAATTGAATGTCAAAAGTGGGAATTCATCATCTTAAATGGAGAACAGCTCCTACCATACATTCGTTCCCATTTCTTGAAAACCGTAATCACGTGCTACTATTAATATTATTATAGATATCCGGTTTTATAGAAAGTAGCACAGAATTAAGGAAAAAATGAGTATAATTTGATTAAACTGAGTAGCTTAGAGGCTTATAGAGCCAGTCACATAAAAAAAGAAAGGAATTAATATGAATTTTATATACTGTTGGTATGAATAATTGAAGTGCAATAGTATGAACTATTTTTCTTAGATGGTCTGAATAAATCCCGCTGCGGTGGTACGAAAAATACCGGGGGTCGGTATGAATTATTTTTTGCCACTGGTATGAACATTTCCGGTGGGTGGTACGAATAAAAAATGAAAACACTGTATACTTTAGATAGAAAACAAGTATAACAAGGGAATAAATATTATTGAATATTATTGTTATAATATCTTTTGTGACTAGAGTTACAAAACTACAACACTATCTATTTAGAACCATCATCATGCCAAATAACAACAGAGCAATATCCCCCACAATTTTTTTTCTTTTTTTTTTTTTTTCTTGCTCAATGTTGACCGTATCGGCATCTAAAAATGGCCGGAGTCCCGGCCATTTTTCACAATAAAGTAATGCCCTAAAACCCTATTATACCGAAATAGAATTTATTAGAAATGGTAGAAAAAGGCTAATATGATCCGTATAGATATATTATTTATCAAAAATCTGTCAAAATTTATTTTTTTGCCCAATGGTAAAAATCGGTCAATTCACAAAATATTATTTTATCATACAAATATATTTAAACAATTAAGGTAAAAAGTATTTTTTATTTGATTTATTTATTTTTTATAAAATGGAATCTTTTTATGCTGTTAGTGGTGATTATAAAAATTTTATAAAATGTTTTGATACTAAAAATGATTCTTTAATTGAAATTAATAAGTTAACTTGGGAGGTTGCTTTTGGTTGTTGTTTGAATTTTGAATTTGCAAAAAACATTAATAAAAATAATGATATTTATAAGTGTAAACCTTTAAAAAGAATTTTAACATCTTGTTACTTATCTAATGATTATTTTATTAAAGAAATGATTAAAAATTATCCTCCTTATTATTTAACCTTCCCTAAAATTATAAATGATAATATTTTTTATAAATTATTTATTGATTTTAATCAAGAATTAAACATACAATTATCAGTAATTTCAATAATAAAAAATAAAATTGATTATTTTATTAAATTAGACCCTATAGCTTCAATTTTAGTTTATTCTTTTTCTAAAAAATATAATAGACAAATTTGTATTAATCAACAAATTTCTAAATCCATGTTTAATTTAAAATTCAGTGATAAAAATTTATTTTGTATGGATAAAGAATTAGAAGAAAAATATTATAATAAAGAAATAAATACTGATTTTTATTTTCAATATTTTAATTATGAAATGATAAATTTCCCTTATTTTTATGATTCTTTTCCTGAATATTTTAATGAAAATTGTTTTGGGTTTTTAGGTTTAGATTATATTAATTTTTATGATTTATATAATTCTGCATATAATTTTAATAATTTTAATAATGTAATTATAGATGATAATTTGTATAATAATTTAATACAAACTATTTATATTTCTAAAAATTTAAATGATTTCTCTTTTTATCAATGTAATTTAGCTTTATCTAAATTAATAATTATGCATGTTGATTTAGATATAAAAATAGTAGATAAATATGCTCCTTATGATTTATGTAAAGAACCTACTTTTAGATACGATGTTTTAAAAAATAAGTATAAAAATATAATAGAAGATATAGAAAAAGCTGAAAATAAATATAAAATTAGTTTTAGAAAATATAAACTAGATATATGGAAATAGTTTTTATATTAATCTATACCTAATTTAAACATATTAAAAGAATTCCTAGGACTACGTTCTTTAATTAATAGGTTATTGACTCCTTGTAATATTTTTTCATTATTAGATTGAATTAGATCAATCAATCTCAGATCAATTGATCTAATTATTTCTTTAATTTTTATATCAATATATTGTTTAATTTCATTAATTATAGATCTATGTTCTTCTAATCTTTGTTTATGAAGTTTACCATTTTTATGATAACGCTGAGGATCATGATATCCACACCACTTTTGATTAGGTTTATACTTACAGTTCAATTGTTCACACATTTTTTCTTATAAATTAAGCTGTTCATATATTTTGATCTAGATCAATCTTTATAATTAATAATCTTTTACAGTATAAATAAGTTTTAAAAAATTCGACTAGTCAAATTTCCGCGCCTCACACCGGGCGCGTTGAAATTTGACAGGCCTAAGTCATTTTTAAGTTCTTTTGTTCTATATAACCTCTAACAGATCCCCATTCTCTTCTAAATTTAAGAAACTCTACTACTGCTTTTTTATCTTCTAATAAATGAGTATATAAATCAGGAGTAATATATTGTAATGGCACACCTTTAAATCTTTTCTTATATCTAATTTCATCATCTACTATATAAGATCCCATATATTGTTTTTTACCAGTACATACAAGTTGAACAAATTTATGTTCTAATTCTAATTTACCCATTTCATCTCCAATAATTTCAGAATTAAGATCAAAATCTTTTTCATAAACACATAAACTATCTGTATCACTATACAAACATCTAGCATTAGGTTTAGCTCCTTTCTGCCATAATTTTTTCATATGTAATCTAGCATAACTTAAAGTAAAAACTCCATTTTGAATAGGTTTACCTCCTTGATCTTTATCTGTTTTATCATTAATCAACATATATTCAGTATCCCAAATTATATGTCCTTCCTTATTTTCAGCATCTTGTATATTCATTATCTATCCATTTTTGAGCAAATTTACCCCATAAACTATTCATAATAATTTTGATAACTTGTCTTTTAACCTGATTATTTTCATTTTCAAATTGTAATTTATATTTATACAACACTTGTTCTATATAATTTTTAAATATCTTACCTTTTGATCTCCATTCATAACCATGTAAAATTTTTATATCATGTCCTTCTTCTAAACCTATATCAATATCTATTGATGTATACCATGCCTCATATTCTATAGTACTATCTAATTTATAAACTACTTTATTATTATATCTAATAGGGAAGAATTCTTGTTTATGTTGTTTATTAGCTTTTATCTTACAATAATAAACTCCTAATTTATTGATATTTCTATCTTTAACTCTAAACATTTTACCATAAGGTTGATCATAATATGCCATAGCTGCAGGATATAAAGATTTGACATCTAAACATAAAACATTATCATGAACACCATTTTCACTAATACATCTTCCTCCAATTAATGCCTCTCTAATATTTAAATAATCTTCCTTAACTGGATGATACAACTTAATATCAGGATCAATAAATGCTTCAAATAATTTAAATGATAATCCAGCCAAAGTTTTAGTTTGATCTACTATATGAGCTCCAAAAATGTCAAAGGTAGTATATTTAAATTTAAGCCATACATTAGCTAAAACAATAACATCATTCATACAATAATCTTTAGCCCATTCAATCAATTTTCTAGACTCTTCATGAGAATCATATCTAATAAAATGTTGAGCAGTAATAATCATCTTTTGTTTTTCTATATGAGAATCAATAATTGTATCAACAGATTTCCATTTATTAAATACTTTTTCAAGATCTTCTCTAGATTTAATTTCATGATGAGGAAAATCTGTCTTACCTCCTTCCACATCAAAAGCTTTAGATGCATTAGCTAAACTGCATAATAAAAAGCTATAACTATCTTTAACATAAAAATTGACTTCATTATGAGTAAATTCAAAACTAATAAAAGCATTATTTCTCATTAAAATATTTTTAATAGCTGCTGGATTATACATATTAGAAATAATATAATGAAAATCATAATTACCTCCATTATGAGCAATTAATTCAATTGACTTAATTTTTAAATCTTTAGCTATATCAGAAATAGTATCTATAATTTTAAACACACAACTCTCTCCTTCTTCTTGAATAGAAAATTCAATTTTATTATCAAGAATAAAACAACCACAAGCAAGATAAGGTATATGTCTTTGATCTTTTTCTACTTTAGGATCAAAATAACATTCTATATCAAAACATACTGTGATTTTCTTAGTTTTATTTCTAAATCTTAAAGGAGAAAAAGTAGTGAACTTATTAGTAAATTTTTGTGCTCTTAATTTATGCATAACTCCAATATGTCCATTATGACTTAATAAATATTTAATTGTTGGATTAATAACATTAAACTCTTTAATAGGACTATTAGGATCAATTCTAAGATCATAAAAATTTTTAATATCTTGAATATTCTTAATATGGTCAGCTAAATTAAATATTAAAACATGGTTATTAAAATGATTAGTAATATCAGTTAAAGTTTTAGCATCTAAATTTTTATCTAAGAATCTACCACATTGCTGCACACAATCAGAATCATCAGTATTAGCAGTAAATAATTGAAAACACAGAAATTTTAAATTAGTATCAATATTCTCTCCCCATTTAGTATGATCTTTAGGAGATGGGAAATATAAAGATGTAAAATAAAGAACTGTATTACATTGATTTTGTTCAGTGGAAAATAAATATTGATAATGATATTGTTGATTACTAAATAATTCAATTAAGTCATCAAACCTTTTACATAAACTATTTAAATCTTCTTCTTCTTTATCTAAATGAATAAATTGAGTGCGTGTTGATCCTACTACTGTGTCATTATTAAAAACTCTAAAATAAGCATAACTTACCGGTAATTTTTCAAAAGGTGTATAAGTATAAGATTCTTTAATAATTTCATGAATTCTATCTTTTAATCCTAAAATTTGTTCTTTATGAAACCCTAAAATTCTACCTCCAAGAAGTAAGTTAGGATTAGACAATTCTAAAGAATCTTCTTGAAAACCTAATGAAACAGATTTAAATTTATGATAAGTTTTAACATAACCAATATCTTCTTCATTGAAATTATATCCTTTAGCTAAAATAGCTGATGAAATCTTTTTAGCTTTTTCTTTTCTTTTAATTGTTTCTTCTTTAACTAATTGCTCAAATTCTGTATTTAAAATTTGTCTTTGTTGTTCAATTAAACCATCTTTAGCTACTTCTGGAAAAGAATTGAAAATATCTTTACCAAATTGTTCTTCTAATTCAGAAATTGCTATATTAAGATTCCTGCTGTATTGTTTTTGTCTCCAATAATCCATTTTAAGTTATTAAAATTTATTATTATATGAAAATAAGTAATCATATAAAAAATGATTTATAAAGAAAATAATGAGACTTTTAATGAAGAAAAAATTCTTAAATTACATATAAATTGTTACTTTGGAGAAAAAGAAAATGTAGAAAAAGAAATAAATATTGATTTAATTAAAAATTTTAAAGAAACCTTATGTTATTGTTTATCTGAAGGAATCAAAAGAAATTTTGAATTTGCTGAATATTGTAAGAAAAACTTTTATTTTGAAGATCATGAATATAAAAATTCTTTGACTATAAGTTATATATTAAATGGTGAATGGGATGATGATTTAGTTTTAGATATCAATGAAATAATTTGTGAATTATATAAAATTAAAAAAGAAGAAATATTAGCATTAATAAAAATTGAAAAATTGAAAGATTTGTTAGCTTATTTATGTATATTAAAAGAAGAAAAAGAAATATTTAAACTTATAAAAAATCCAAAAATGATTTGGCAAACTGAAATATTAATTAAATGTTTAAATTTACCTAATTATTTTGATAATGATATTGTTTATGATGAAACAATAAATTTTTCATGGTTACCTATAAAATTTAAAGAATATAATAGTGATGAATTATATCCTGAAATATTTGAGAGAAAAATAAATTATAAAAATATTAGAGAAATAAATTTTTACAAAAATAGTGATGATTTAACCGATTTAACTAATATAAAAGGTATAGAAAAATATATAATGTATAACAAAATAGAAATAAGTAAAAAAATAACTAAAAACGGTATAAAAAATGATGTAAGAATAGCTAAAATAGCTAAAAAGAAAAATGTTTATTTAAATGAACATTGTAGCAAATTCTGTTCAATAGATGAAGAAATTATGGAAGATATAATAATTAATATAAAACCTTTTTTAATTTACTTAAATATAGGATATTCTTTAAAATATATAGAAAATTATGACGAAAAATATAAATGGTTAATTATATATACTAATATTTTGTCTGATGTTATTATTAAAAAGAATTTAATAGAAAACGAAGAATTTGTAGAATATAATTGTTTAAAAGCTGCTTATATGGTATGTAGAAAAACAAATATAAAAAGATTAGATATGATATTACAAAAAACTAAAAAATGTTACAAATTATTCGATATAGATAAATCAGAATTTTTAAGTGAAAAAGAAGAAATTAATATAGAAAACATTAAATTTAACAAAAAATTTGATGTGAATACATATATTTTTGAAAATTAATTTGGTTAAATTATTTTTTAAAACCAAAATGGTAAAAATTTGAAAAATGGACTGTTTTACCATCTTTACCATTTGACCAAAAAATAAATTTTGACAGATTTTTGATAAATAATATATCTATACGGATCATATTAGCCTTTTTCTACCATTTCTAATAAATTCTATTTCGGTATAATAGGGTTTTAGGGCATTACTTTATTGTGTAAAAATGGCCGGAGTCCCAAAAATGGCCGGAGTCCCAAAAATGGCCGGAGTCCCGGCCATTTTTGTTCTACTTTCAAACTGGATTATTCTATAATATATATATACCCCCTCAATTTTTTTTTTTTCCTTTATCTCTTCTCTTGCTCTTGTTTATGAATTATTCCTTGAAAAGTGGTCATAACATCCTTCTTCTTCTTCATTTCCCGTAATCTTTGATCCCACCGGTTATTCACGTACAGTTAGTTGGCTTGCATGAAACCTCATCACACCGCCTGGAATGGAGGAGGGGGTCTCCAACATGAATATACAATATATTACCATTGCCTGTAATGGTTTAGTTGGGTAACATAGTAGTTAAAGTATATTAAAGAAGAATAAAAACTAAAAGGAATAGATGAAGTAAGCTTTTTATAGGTGAGAAAAGAAAGTAAGACTTACCTAAAAGGGAAATAAAAAGGTAGTCGGAGATAAGGAAGTTGTCCGAGATAAGGAAGTTGTCCGAGATAAGGAATGGAGTTAAATAAAGAAGAAAGAAGAAAAGATAAGAACAATAAAAAGAAAGAAAGAGAAAGAAAAGTAAGAAAGTGTCTAGATCATTACAATTGCCCAATTAACAAGCGTTTCAATCAATCAATATAAAAATAATAATAAACCGTTGGTAATACTTACTGGGCAGAAGTCTGGTGTAGATATGGGTTGGGAGAGAGAGAAAGACAGACAAATGGCCACTTCCCAAACCGTTGCCATGCAGTAACATGAACCTGTCATGTCTTGTCTCTCTCGACGTCATATTTATAAAACTCCATTAATTTTCCCAGGGGTGGAGAGATTGTTTTTTTTTTTTTTTCTTTAATGTTTGGAAATCCCCTTGAAATAAACCAAACAACCAACGTAATGTTAATTTATCTTAATCCCGAGAAATAATTTGAGCCAATTATGCTTATGTATATATATATATATATTACATATACACCTACACCGATAAAAATAAGGAAAAAATGTTGGCAGAACACATGGGTTCTGAAAAGAAACAAACTATTCTTGAGCTGGATCGCTCTGAAGATATTTTACGACCTCGGTGAGGATCGAACTCACGATCTTGCGATTAACAGTCGCACGCCTTAACCAGCTTGGCCACGAAGTCTGTGTTATATTATCGGATCATGGTTGAGTTGAGTCCTGGTTACCAACGGGATGGTACCGTTTTTTTTTTTAAAAAAAAAAAAAACCATAGACCTGCGCTGGGTGGCGTAGTGGGCAGAACCATAGACTAAGAAAGGTTCGCGTGTTCGAACCCCGCTCGCGGCATTAACCACCAGGTCACGTTCAGTACGCTAACTGAGTAAGGAGTAATACCACTCTGAAGGTAAGATACAAGGGGGTTTTAGTGAGTAAAAATCTCACACTACCGGTAAGGTTGCGTCGCTGGTGTCTTTCGAAGATTTCCTCCTCCCTGGCTAAAAAAAAAATAGTGACAGGTTGCTACAAGTCAAAAACATTGCATTTTCCAACCCAAACTCCCGGGTTACCAAAAATATTGGGAGAAAACGGACACCAAATAAGTCGCCATAGCTGCGCATAATTGATCATAATAACCGTACATAAAAAGTGCGATGACCTATATAGCTCTTAGTAGTTAAATATAGGGACTTTAAAAAAAAAAAAAAAAACCATGCGAAACCATGATCTACATTACCTCATCGAAGTATTACCTTATGTTCCATCCCTTATCTGTTAGTCCTTTATTGCGGGAATGGGTCCAACACCCCATTATTAGTTTTAACCATTTTATTTATTTAAGGATTCAACATTCCTCTTGTTTTCACCTTTATTTAGTTTAAGAAAAGGATCATCTTTGTGATCACCCAATTTGAATCTTCTTGGTCGAGAACAATCATCGACAAGAAGCAGATTGTAACATCTGGTAGCACCACTAGGTTTAAAATGAATAACGCGGAACGCGAAAAGTTGTTGTTGAACAACATGCCGGTCTACGACGGATCCGACGACCTATCATTGATTCTCTCTTGGATGGATCACTTTAAGATTATTATGCCCAAACTATCCGGATCCCGAGAGGAAAAACTCCTTTTGATTTCGGTGAAACTCCGGGGGGATGCGATGACTGTTGTAGTTTTGTAACTCTAGTTACAAAAGACATTGATAACAATAATATTCAATAATATTTATTCCCTTGTTATACTTGTTTTACTTGTTAACTATCTAAATTATATAAAGGACAAACTCAGACTATGGGGGCATGGCCCATATTTATATTAATCTCAATGGGTTCTAGAAGGTTCCATAAGCTCTAGAATGTTCCATGGAATTCTAGAAGGTTCCATGAGTTCTAGAAGGTTCCATAAGTTCTAGAAGGTTCCATGAGTTCTAGAAGGTTCCATGAACAATGACTAACCACATAACTTTGGATTGCCAACTCAACACCCTCTCTCAATTCAAAGTCTCCATACCACAGAGCCTTCTCAACTCCAAGAATTGAGGGGCAGCAAGACCTTTTGTAAACATATCAGCAATCATAACACCAGTGCTCAAGTACTCCAAATTGATAGAGCCAGATCCAATGTGGTCCCTGATAAAGTGAGTCCTGATGTCAATGTGTTTGGTGCGATGATGGAAAGCTGGATGCTTTGCCATTTCAATACACCCTTGGTTATCATCAAACATCCTCACTGGACCAGTATTGATCCCAAATTCCTTGAACACTTGCATTAGCCATAATGCTTCCTTGACTCCTTCACTTAGTGACATGTATTCAGCCTCTGCCGTAGAAAGAGCAACAGTAGCTTGCTTCTTAGATCTCCATGTGATTGCACCATTGGCATATTTGAACACAAACCCAGTAGTAGACTTTCTGTCTGACTTATCTCCAGCCCAGTCAGCATCACAGTATCCAAGAAGCTCACCGTTATCATTATTGCCAGCCTCATATCTTATTCCCAAATCTTTGGTTCCTTTCAAGTATCTTAAAACTCTCTTTGCTGCCTTATAATGCACCTCCTTTGGTTCCTTGAGGTATCTGGATAGAACACCGACGATATAGCTGATATCGCTTCTAACAGTATTAGCAGCAAACAATAATTTTCCAACCAAAGATCTGTAAGCTGTGGCATCACAATCCTCAGCACTGTTGTCCACCAAGGTGAGCTCCTGACCAGCAATAGTAGGCGTCTTATCTGGGTTGCAATTCTCCATTCCAAATTCCTTTAACATAGAGCCAATATAGTCTTTCAAGCTCATGTTAATACCTCCATTATCTTGCGAGATATTGATACCCAAAAATTTCCTGACTATTCCCAAGTCCTTCATCTTGAAGACATTCATCAATTCACTTTTCACTTTCCTGATGGCAAAATCTGAGGTACCAGCTATCAATAAGTCGTCAACATAGAGGGCAACCATCACAAATGACTTTTCAGACTTTCTTGAGTACAAACAATATTCAGCACCGTTTCTAACAAAACCAAGAGACGACAATACACTGTGGATTCTCTCATTCCACACCAAGGGAGCTTGCTTCA